AACAAAGTGTGGACTTTGGTGGACTTGTCCGATGATCGGTAAGCCATAGAAAATAAATGGATCCTCAAGAAGAAGACTAACGCTGATGGTAATGTTACTGTCTACAAAGCTCGACTTGTTGCAAAAGATTTTCGACAAGTTCAAGGAGTTGACTACGATGAGACTTTCTTACCAGTAGCGATGCTTAAGTCTGTCTGAATCATGTTAGCAATTGCCGCATTTTATGATATGAAATCTGGCAAATGGATGTCAAAACTGCATTCTTTAATGGATATCTTAAAGAAGAGTTGTATATCATGCAACCATAAGGTTTTGTCGATCCTAAAGGTGTTGACGAAGTGTGCAAGCTCCAGTAATCCATCTATGGACTGGTGCAAGCATCTCGGAGTTGGAATATACGCTTTGATGAGGTGACCAAAGCATATGGTTTTATACAGACTTACGGTGAAGCCTGTATTTACAAGAAAATGAGTGGGGGCTCTGTAGCATTTCTGATATTATATGTGGATGACATATTATTGATTGGAAATGATATAGAATATCTGGATAGCATAAAAGGAAACTTGAATAAGAATTTTTCATTGAAAGATATCAGTGAAGCTGCTTATATATTGGGCATCAAAATCTATAGGGATAGATTGAGACGTCTGATAGGACTTTCACAAAGCACATACCTTGACAAAGTTCTAAAGAGGTTAAAAAATGGATCAGACAAAGAAAGGGTTCTACCTATGATACAAGGTGTGAAATTGAGTCAGACTCAATGCCCGACCACTGCAGAAGATAGAGAGAGAATGAAAGTCATTCCCTATGCCTCAGACATAGGTTCTATAAAGTATGCCATGTTGTGTGCCTTGTCATGAGTTTGGCAAGGGGGTACAATAGTGATCCAGGAGTAGATCACTAGACAGCGGTCAAAATTATCCTTAGAGGACTAAGGAAATGTTTCTCGGTTATGGAAGTGATAAAGGGTTTGTCATAAAGGCTTACGTCGATGCAAGCTTTAACACTAATCTAGATGAATCTAAGTCTCAATCTGGATAGGTATAGTAAGTGGGAGCAATTAGCTAGAGTAGCTCCGCGCAGAAATTGTAGACATAGAAAATTGCAAAATACATACGGATCTGAATGTGGCAGACCCGACTAAACCTCTCTCACAAAAAAAACATGATCACACCTTAGTACTCCTTGGGTGTTAATCACATAGGCAATGTGAACTAGATTATTGACTCTAGTAAACTCTTTGAGTGTTGGTCACATGGCGATGTGAACTATGAGTGTTAATCACATGATGATGTGAACTAGATTATTGACTCTAGTGCAAGTGGGAAACTGAAGGAAATATGCCCTAGAGGCAATAATAAAGTTGTTATTTTATATTTCCTTATTCATGATAAAGGTTTATTATTCATGCTAGAATTGTATTGATCGGAAACTTAAATACATGTATGAATACATAAACAAATATCGTGTCCCTAGTATGCCTCTACTAGACTAGCTCGTTGATCAAAGATGGTTAAGGTTTCCTGGCCATAGACATGTGTTGTCATTTGATAACGGGATCACATCATTAGGAGAATAATGTGATGGACGAGACCCACCTATTAGCTTAGCATAATGATCGTTCAGTTTATTGCTATTGCTTTCTTCATGTCAAATACATATTCCTTCGACTATGAGATTATGCAACTCTCGGATACCGGCGGAATACCTTGTGTGCTATAAAACATCACAACGTAACTGGGTGATCATAAAGATGCTCTACAGGTATCTCCGAAGGTGTTTGTTGACTTGGCATAGATCGAGATTAGCATTTGTCACTCTGAGTATCGGAGAGGTATCTCTGGGCCCTCTCGATAATACACATCATAAGCTTGCAAGCAAATGACTAAGGAGTTAGTCACGAGGTGATGTATTACAGAACGAGTAAATAGACTTGCCGGTAACGAGATTGAACTAGGTATGAAGATACTGACGATCGAATCTCGGGCAAGTGACATACTGATGGACAAAGGGAATCACGTATGTTGTCATTATGGTTCGACCGATAAAGATCTTCGTAGAATATGTAGGAGCCAATATGGGCATCCAGGTTCCGCTATTGGTTATTGACCGCAGAGATGTCTCGGTCATGTCTACATAGTTCTCGAACCCATAGGGTCCGCACGCTTAACGTTCATTGATGATAGTGTTATATGAGTTATATGATTTGATGACCTAATGTTGCTTGGAGTTCCGGATGAGATCACGGACATGACGAGGAGTCTCAAAATGGTCGAGAGGTAAAGATTTATATATAGTACGATGGTATTCGGACACCGGAAGAGTTTCGGAGTGCACCGGGTAGTCATCGGGTCACCGAAAGGGGTTCCGGACACCCCCGGTAAGTGTATGGGCCTAATGGGCCAAAAGGGGGACATATCAGCCCCTGGTGCGCCCCTTCCTTGGACAGCAGGCCCTAAGGGAAGGAAAGGGGAGGGGAGGCCCCTCCTTCCTTTCCCTCCTCAAGTGGGAAAGGGAAGGGGGGCGCCACCCTCCCCTCCCTTTCCCCCGCACTAATACAAGGCAGGGGGAGGGCGCGGCTTGGGAGAAACCCCAAGTAGGATTCCTCCTACTTGGGCGCCCTCTTTGGCTACTCCTCCCTCCCAACCACCTATATATATATATGTGGGAGGGGGTGCCTAGCACACAACATACAACATTGTCTTAGCCGTGTGCGGCGCCTCCTCCACCGTTTACACCCCCGGTCATATTTTCGTAGTGCTTAGGCGAAGCCCTGCGGAGATAGCTTCACCATCACCATCACCACACCGTCGTGCTTCCGGCACTCATCCACTACCTCGCCGTCTTGCTGGATTAAGAAGGCGGAGGACGTCATCAAGCTGAACATGCGCTGAACACGGAGGTGTCGTACGTTCGGTGCTCGATCGGTTGGAACGCAAAGAAATTCGACTACATCAACCGTGTTGTCAAACGCTTCCACTTACGGCCTGTGAGGGTACGTAGACACACTCTTTCCCCTCGTTGCTATGCATCTCCATGAATAGATCATTACATGTGCGTAGAAATTTTTTGTTTTTCCATGCAATGTTTCCCAACACATCAAACTTAGGAAAGTCCATCTTCGGAGTACTACCAAAGTGTGAATGGTGCGCGTGACTGTGGGAGCGACACTCATCATATTGAGGCTCATAATCGAATAGCTTGGGCTAATGATTGGACATATCGTTGGTCGGAGGCAGATTGAGGGATCTGGGATCCTTCGGAAGTAGCCCCGTGCTAGGTGGTGCCAACCTTACCCATGGGGCCGGGCCGCGGCGTCAAAACAGACCTAGATGGTTGGAGGAGACGCGCTGGTGCAAGTCGGGTCAGTGGGTCGAGGTGTGGGAGCCTCTAGTGCCCCGAGGCATGCTGCAGCATCCTCCGCGCGGAGTTCTAGCCACGAAGCCGAGGTAGTAAAGGTATTAGTCATAGTACCCATCATTTGTCTCCTCCACGTGCGCCCGCGGCACCACCGACACTGGGATGCGGTGCGGGTCAAGGTGCTAGCCGTGGGGGAGGTTAACGTCCGGCGACGGCAGCGGCTGTCGGATATGCCAGTGCTAGTGTGTGCAGTGCACCGGGATGTAAAGTTGGTTCCGTGGCCGGCGATCCCTGGCCGCACGGAGCTCCATCTCAGAGGCTTTTGGCAG